TGAGGGCGGCCACACGGTCGTATGTTTCTAGCCAGGTTTCCGGGTCTTCAAACGATGAGCCATGGAACGTTGGTGGTTCCCTGGGTTGATGAATTACGATCGCGGGCTGGGACGCTCCGGTAGTAGTAGTAGTAGTATTTGTATTTACAGTAAGCCGGATACAGAGCTCACTGCAGGGGCAAAGGGCTAAAGGCGAACAGCCTGACAAAGGCCCTTGTCCCTCCGCAGTCCGTGACAGTGCAAAGCTTAAACAATATATATATTCAATACATTGGTTTCAAGCAACCTGAAAGTGTAAACACAAAATTCAAACATAAATAGCATAAGAAGTTTACATAACACATTTTAAGAATTAGAGGTCACTCTCGTTATAATTTACAACTAAACAATATCAATGAAACAACTCAAAAACAGACACGAAATGCATGCGGATACAATGAATTCCTCTGTATACACTCGTGTAATTGACATAGAAGTTTATGAACAATTTAAGCATTTGCAGAGGCTTGAGACTCTATTACGTAGTTTCGATAGTGTAGACCGGTGGTTATGAATTAGTTCTTTATTTGTTTCTTGAAAGTCGCACTACTAGCCCTAAAGTTCAATTGATCTGCAAGGGTATTTAAAACCTGAGGTACCTGGTAAGCAATACTTTGTTTTCCATACTTGGTTCTTGTTCTAGGAGCTCGTTTCTTTTGTTCTCGCATATTGTAGTGTGGTCTTTCGGTGCAACTTTCTTCATATAGCTTAGTCTTTTGTATTAACTGAAGTAATTTAAATTGATATGTTTAATTAATAGTGGAGCAGTGCGCAAGTCTTGTAGATTCCCCCTGTAATTTTCAAAGCAGCGCAATATTTTCTTTTGTATAGTTATTAACTTATGGTAATTCCCTTGTGATGTCGTTCCCCAGACTAACATACCATAACTTACTTTAGAATGGAAGAGTGCATAGTACATACTTATTTTTAACCTCAATGGGATTAAGTGCATTGTTCTAAAAAAAACAACCAACTATTCGCGCTAATGCGGTGATCAGATGATTTACATGTGTATTCCAGTTTAATTCCTCCTGAAACCATACACCAAGAAACTTTTGTTCCCTAACATGTGCGATGCAATTTCCTTCGAATTTTACAGCTATGTTACTAATAGGTTTGTTTATAGGTCGGAATATCATATAGGTTGTTTTTTTGCATTCAAGCGCAGTCCATTTTGCCCTAACCAATTTGAAAGATTGCTTAGATAATTATTTACACTGACCGCAAGTGATATTAGATTGTCTGATGAAAAGAAACCATTCGTATCGTCAGCGTACATTATAAGTTCAGGAGAATGAGGTATATCGACAATATCATTTATATAGACAAGGAACAATAATGGCCCCAGTATAGACCCTTGGGGGACTCCTTGGTTCAACTTTATCTTTGCAGAAATAGTGTTATTCAGTTTTACATATTGATAACGATCTTCTAGGTAACTTTTAAACAGTTGTAGTGCAACTCCACGCACCCCATAACTTGATAATTTATGAATCAATGATTTGAATTGTATGGAGTCAAATGCCTTTTGAAGATCGAGGAAGAGCCCAAGAGTATATTTTTAGTTTTCCATATTTTCGATTATCTTATCTTTGATATGCAGTAGAGCTTGTTCTGTTGATTTATTTTTTTTAAAACCATACTGACTTTTTGTTATTATTTGGTGCTTATCAAAAAAGGATGCAAGTCTATCATAAATAACCCCTTCAAATATTTTTGATATTGTTGGAAGCACAGATATAGGTCGATAGTTTGCTAAAGCATTGATATCACCACCTTTATGTACTGCAGTGACTTTTGCTACTTTTAGCTGCTCTGGAAATACACTGTCAGTGAGGGTGAGGTTGATAATATAGGCCAAGACATTAGATATCAATAATGACACCATTTTCAACTCTACAGAACCTATCTCATCAATCCCTGATGCAACATTGTTTTTAAGTTTTTTAATTATTCTTTCTACTTCAACCTGATCTGTGGGTGCGAGAAAAATAGAATACGGCCAAGGAGATTTATCAGGAGTTGGAGCATTATCTCGCTTTTCATCCGTTAAAATAAAGGAACCCGCATTTATGAAATGTTCATTCATGACATTGGCCAGCCTTTCATCACTGAAAATCTGACCATTAATTGTTAGGTCTTGTGTCCTTTTACAACCCTTTTTTCTGTTCGTAAGCCCATTTATGACCTCCCATAGCTTCCTCTGGTCATTGTAAATGCTTTCAAATAATTTTTCATAGTAGTTCTGTTTAGCCTTCCGTATTTCTGAATTTAAAACGTTTCTGTATTTCTTGTACTCAGCTAAGGCGTCTGTGTTCCGTGAACGGATGAAATCATGATACAATTTATTCTTTATTTTTATGCGCCGGTAAAGATCACAATTTATCCAAGGCTTTCTGCATTTCTTATTTCTGCCACGTGAGCGCTTCTCAAGTGGAAATGCCGCATCATAGCTAGTACTCAATAACGTCATGAATGTGTTATAAGCATCATCAGGATTTTCTTGTCTATAAACAGTGGTCCAATCTATGTTCTGAACTAGCTGAAAAAAATGTTCCCGAGTTTTGCTGTTTTTAATTATGTGGAAAGATGTCTCTGTTTTCCGACCAATTTGAGAAGTAACTCGTGCAAGAAAGAAGATGGGCATATGATCACTTATGTCATACGCAAATACCCCGGATTTTATATTCTGTGAACTTAAATTTTAGGCGCATATATCAAGGAGCGTAGCACTTGTTGATGTAATCCTAGTAGGTGAACGTATAAAATTTGTACTTCCATATGTAAGTAAGAGCGTTTCAAAATCTTTGGCATAAGGATCATTGGAACAGAGGTCAATGTTGATGTCACCCATAACTATGCAAGAAGTATTCCCGCGAACAGTGGATAACACAACAATAAGAAACTCAATAAATTTCTTTTTGTGGCCATGTGGTGGCCTATATACGCCAATTACTATGAATGGGCCAACACACATTGTAATGCATTCAACATCATCGTTCATAACAGTATACTTATCAAGCAGTTCACTCGAAAGCGTATCCTTAAAATAAATAGCAAGACCTCCACCTTTTTGCTGGTTACGACAGAGAAGTTCATGACTATAGCCTGGAAAGAACGGCGAATCTTCTTTATAAGTAATCCATGTCTCGGAAAAAACTAGCACATCAAATCCGATAGCTATAGACCATATAAAATTAGCAATGTCGTCGACCTTTCTTTTTATGCTTCTACAATTTATATGCAATGTTTTAAACAAGACTTTTCCGGATTGAAATGCCCTATTGTAGTCTTCAACACTGTAATACCTTTGGTTATTTACAAGATCAGTCATATTGGAATGTTTTTCAATTTGTTATGACATATGTCACATCTAATTTCTAATTTTAGCCAGGCTTGTCTCATCCGCAATGTGTATCGCTCGCGATCCCTCATCTTTGCGTGCATGGATTTTGCCACCGGATGTCCAGACAAATTTCCATGCGGCTTCTTTGTTTTTTTTTTGTATTGCCGCTGCAAGCAATGCCTTGCCCTTCTGCGTCAAATGCTCATTTACAAAAATGGGCGTTTTTTTGTCATCCCCAAGCATAGAACTATCGAGCCTCTTCTTTCTACATTTCGCCAGTATGTCGTCACGTTTTGTTCTTTTTACAAAACGAACGATTATTTTCTTCACACCAGGCTTAGGAGTGCGAATCCAGTGGCATGCGCCAATATCAGACAGAGCTACTGCCGTGCCGACAGCTTCGCTTATCTTTCTTACAACATCCACTGGATCATTTCCGACCGGCGCACCCTTTATCTCAAGATTGTTTAGGCGCTGATATTGTTCGAGCTCATCGAATTTTTGTGACAGTCTCTTATTTTCCGCTTTCAATTCACTGTTTTGTCTTATGAGCTCTTGCTTTTCAGCTCTCATATTCTTAATATCAGTGGCTACATCTTTCACCTCACTGCAGGTGTCAGAGCAAAAGTTGTCATTGTCGCTGCAGTCGAGGTCATGGTCTTGGTCTTCCGCGCCTTGTCTTGTAGAAGGCCGTACTCCGGTGGGAAACCTTGCTGTCGGCGGCTCGTTCGCTGTTCTTGGTTGGCGTCGGTGTCTTCTCCGCGACAAGGGCTGGGTTCACGGCTTGACGGGGGCGTCCGATACATGAACAAAGCAGCACCTCCACCAGATGTCACGGGGTCGTGACGTGGCCGAAGACAGAAGACTTCGTGTTGGAATTTAACTGTTTATTTGGGCGAACCTGTGCCCGGTAAAGGAAAAGTCTAATTACAGCAGCAGTCTTGCACAGATAGCAGTCTCGGACTGATAGCGGCGAACGCAGCGTCGGCCTTCGATCAACAACTGACAAGCGGCGAAGCGCGTCGGCATTTATACCCTTGCCGTCGAATGTTCTAGCGTTATCGCTGGCGGTGGCGTAGGTTCCAGAACAATCTGTACCGTTCGCACAGTGGGCGTGATCTTATCGAAATGATCTACTACAGTCCGGAACCTTCTCGAAACCTGCAGGCGCGGTTTGCGCCGAGAATCGTGTGGTGTTTCGGAACGATAACAAAAACTTGTGAAATGGAACGTGGCAATATGCTTAGATCAAGCTGCAAGTTAAACACTTGGGTGTACTTTGGCGTTTATCAACATTATATTTTTGTTGTGCGATGGTAAACTCCAACAATTATTATATCAGCCACCGCATTTGTTGCGGCTTTACGTTAGAAAATTCACCATTGGTATAGTCGGTCACCACTGTTTATAAGAATCCCTGCAAAGGAACTATGCTCACAGATCACTAAAATTTCCCTAAAACGTCACTGCACATCGCAAAAATTGAATAGAAATACATGGGGTGTCTTGCGGTTTTCCCTCTTCTTCATAGGTGTGTTAAATATGTACTTCACACAACCATCATAAATTTCTGACTACTTCAAATGGGGGGCAAAAAAAAACTTGGCTCACTCACTCAGATTTCATGAAATCAATCCTTACAGCGTTTGTCATATGTACTATGACCTTCGTGAGCTCGGATCTGCTGGTATAAGCTGAGAACAGCCGGCATTTTCTTGTCCTGTAGAGACAAATAAAACGCATGCTTCTCTAAGTACGATATGACTTCGCAAAAATACAACCAATTATTAAGATACAACCAGTTCCTTCATCAACAATTGTTGGCACGATCAGGATGTCTCTTCGCTAGGATTCGGCTTAACGGGCGAAGGATCAACGGCCACTCGGCAAATATGACGATGTCGGTAGGAGAATGACTCCTGCAGACGCTCTCGTGATTCGCTGCGACAGTATATCTACGGGTGGGTGGCCCGCGGGGCCACATTCCTAATGATCGTGTGCTTCACGTCCCCCGTCGCAGTGGTCCGTACTCGGCTGCTGACCTGCAGGTCGCGCAATCGAATCCCAGCTGCAGCGGCTGCGTTTTTTATGGAAGCGAAAGTGCTGTAGGCCCGTATGCTCAGATTTCCAAGCAGGTTAAAAAACCCCAGGTGGTCAAAATTTTCGTAGCCCTCCACTACGGCGTCTCTCGTATACATATGGTGGTTTCGGGATGTTATACCGCACACATCAATCATAAGCTTCCCATCAATTCATGTTCAGTAAGCGTGGACACAGTCTTTAGAGCCCGACTTTAAACAACGCTTCTCCCAAGACATTTATTTACTTGTAGGCACTCCCCGCTTTTGTCACACCAGCTAACCGTGATTGATAGCTTCGGGTTTAGGGAAGGCTACAGGGTCTGTTAAGACAGCTTCGCTGCAAAGAAGAATCTACCTGTATGATAAAATATTCTGGGTGAGATATTAAACTGTAAGAACTGAACGTGATGATTGTACTTACCAGCCTTCATTAGCAGTGACAATTTCCACTTGCGCCATATCCGACTGCAGTTCTTCGGGATGCATGTTCATATCACCTATCGTGCTAACAAGCAGATTAATTCGCTGAAGTGAGTTCCTAGGAGGAAGCAATTACAAAGTTTACAATAGGTTTTATTCGTAAATAACTATTCGTTGAACCGCGCATTAGATACCGTCACAGCTGAAACAAAATTAAGCAAGGAAAGTGAGAGTGAAAGCGAAATGCATTATCAATATGATCATAAAACACATGTTTATTGCGTGTGCCGTCCACCTGACAAAAAAAAACCTCATTTTCTGATTGCGCAAGTGCCTCTGATAGCCTAATCCGACGAATCCAAGTAATACATGAGGCCTCCAACAGGGATTGAAGCCAAGCATTATGTGTGGCCATCAAGTATTCTGCCACAGACCTTAGGCAAGTCTCAGAACTGCTTCTGAAAAGGACCATGCAGGCGTAATGTTGCAGTAACGCCAATTATGCAGCACTACATATGGAGCACTGCAAATGTAATTAGGTAAACATTATAGACCTACACCTATAATACAGGTGCCACGTCGGGCTAATGACAATCGTACTTATGTGCCGTCTAGTAAAAATGGTCTACGTTGCACTACCTTCTTTGCAAGCACAAGCGCAACATACCGGCTCACTGTTTTTCATGTTGATCGCTTATAAACCGGGTTTGGGGTGCCAGAAATAGGCGGTAAAGTATTATTTTAGCCCAAAAAATGCATATATAGGCACAATAGGCTCTAAAGAAATTCAAATATTCGATGAAATGCGTGTGTTATTTGTGTCTACGACAGGAAATCAAACAAAAATGTGTTATTTTAAGGTACAAAGGAGCCAATCGTTCAGCACAGCCATGTCATTCTTTCCCGCATCATTTGAATATTTTCGTGCGTGCCGCATTTCTAGATTTTAGCATAATTTCGTTGTTTTTCTCTTAATAAATTACACCACAATCATCTTCTCTGCCCATAATACGTAAAACAAGAACTTTTCTTGTACGTCAAATTTCTAGAATTTTTGTTGTTTCAAGTGATGTAAACGCACATCGCACTTGGTCATATAATAAACATTTTCTTCTTCCTTCTCATAAATAGAGGCAATATTTAGACGCTTTACAAACCGGGTTTTCGGTGTCAGAATTAGGCAGGAAACTACTGTTTTACCCCCCAAAATGCATATATATGAACAATAGGCTATGAAGAAATTCAAATTTTTGATGAAATGCGTGTTTTATCTGAGTATACGACAGGAAGTCGAACAAAAATGCGCTAGTTTATGAAAGTACAAAGCAGCCAATGGTTAAGCACAGACATGTTATTCTTTCCCGCATGGTTTGGAGAATACAATGGCCCCTTTTCTAGTCCAGCATGGTCAGTGAAGTGTCTACCAACAAATAAAAACGCTCCTGAGTCTCGTTCTTTTCAGCATAGCTGAGAAGAGCAACACAGGAGTAATTAGTCAGAGCGGTAATAGACCAAAGGGTCATTTTGCCTTGTGTGAACTTGATCTAATTGCAATTAATTTCACTTCTGGCTGTAAACACCTTAAAGAGCCATTCATTAGGTTTGATAACTTCGAACAGGCAAGGGGAATGCATACACTGGTCACTCACACTCTGATCTACCAAGATTTGCTGTTATAGCGCCCCGGAAAGAAGTGAAATGTCCGGCTGAACGACACTTGACCTTCATATCTCGTGCGCACGTCCAAGCATGGTGGAGGTGACGTTTGCAACAAGAAATGAGCCCACATACGTCAAATAAGTACGTGAGAATGCGAGAATTATTCGAGGCGACTTCTGTAGTTTGCGCAATTTGTTACTTGAATACGAGTATGAGGGTTTACAGAAATAGTAAAACATACAAGCGAGATATATGTGTGTTAATATACAACTTTATCGAACGCAATCCGAGACTAAGCTGCCTACATTGTGTTTGCGTTGGTATTCTCGCCGTTCTCACATCGTGCTGGTGGCAGCACTCAGAAAGCTTGGGGTGTTTTTGGTTCATCGTCTGGTTCATGCCAGCGTCTCTAAACACGCGCGCATAGAGGTATGCATCCCGCAGAAACAGGCAGTACAATATAGAAAACGTCAAAACGGGTATAACGCCTCTTTTGGGCACGACCTTGCATGGAATTGTCATGCGAATGTAGACTTGCGTGCACATAAGGTTTTCATACGTCTACGTCGTGTGATCTTCTGGCACCGAAATGCTTCGATATACCGAAGACGGCAGGGAAGAAATCTGGCTTGTCAGGTCTATAGCCGTAGAGTGGCAATGGTTTAGAGCTCACCTCCTAGCATCAAGCTTTCGCTGTTTGTAATAGGCGTATTGAAAAATTGTAGTGGTGCGAATCTTTTTTGTTGTGCACGCAACAAGTTCTAGTGTCTAACTAAAGTTAAGCACCGTTTGAACGACTGACAAGACCAAAAACCACCTGCACATTTATTTTATTTACACTCTAGTTTTCCCTGAGAGGACACTCAACGATTTTCTATTTGTTCTCCAACGTTCTATGGCTGCACAGAAGCCCCTCCTGTTCTCTACGTGTGCAAACAGACGACACAACGTGGAAGAATGCACGTGTAGAGGCTGGTCGGCCTTCCTATTGGCTAATAGGCCTTTAGCCTTGGCAGTGCTGAAATTGACTCATGAAATAGAGTATATAGGTTGCACCCCATACATAGAGTGCGCAAACCTCAGTTTTGTCCGGTAGCATAAATTCCGGTTTCTAGCTGTACTCGAAAGCAGAATCTGAAGTTAAATAGTTTTCTTATAGACACCAATTTCGTAAATAGGCATTTATAGGCACTCATATGAAATCGAACATGGATATCAAAAAAATATTTAGAGGCAGTATAGAAACACCACAAAAGCTCTTCTTAACCTATAATTCATGCTTATAATTGAAAGTTGCACAATAGGAACGCAATAAACAAAATAGGCGTTTTACTGTAATACTGTCTCTACTCCGTAAGTTAGTCGTGACAAGGCACTGTAAGGCGTATTGTACATCTCGTGCCTTCGTTTTGGCGCTGCTCATTTCAAAGATGCTACGGGAAGTGCACTTCGTGTGACGCACGTATAATGTATCAGCAATTGTGAACAAATTTTATTGAATGCATTGAATTGCTGGCAATGAATATTTTATGCTATTTGGAAGTGCGACACAAATAATAAGCATTGCAAAGCTTTTCCGAGTTCTCTTCAGGTTAGTTCCAACAATTTTTCGTTTGTTTGGTACCACTTATTCAGAAATGTACAATTTTTTCACCAGCACTTTGTCTGGTAATAAATGCCGTAGTTCCCGAGTAATTCTCTCAAGCTGCTATTACAACAATGACCAAGACACGTTTCAAAGTTTCGTTAGACAATAACTGCCACGGTACTAGGAAGCAACGAGGGACAAGTGCAGTCGAACTGTTGAGCTAGCTTTCATTAACTCATCAATGGCACTTTTTTGAGACACTTATCTCAGAGTTAGGGGCTGCTTCTGAAACGCAAAACAGCAATGAAATGATTTCAGTGTGACTGATTTGCGCCTAAATTGGCTAGTAAAATTGTCTCCACTACTTACGTGTTACAGAGCGCTGTCCTGTAAAAATTCGCCATTGCAGACAAAACGGCATTGACTTCAGAAGCATCGCGGTAGAAGTTCCGAATGCTCAAAATACCATACGAGATATCCTCCACTCCAAGTTTCACCATGTATTGACACATCTGGGTCAGAGGGAAGTCCATGTGTAACAAAGAAGATAGCAGTTAGAAATTGTTGTGAGCTAATATTTTTTTTCGCAGGTATAACAGATACTTTCTTAATACAATTCCTCAGCATAAACAGCCCCTTTTTTAGAACATATTGCATGATATTCTTATGCAACAAAAATTATTTTTAGGGAAAGAAAAACTTTAGTGAGACTTTGCTGAATACATATAGGTCACACACAAGAAACGCTCTTACTATACGGAATAATATATACTTAGTTATTCGGCAACTGCTCGCTGCTTCAAGAGTGGTAGGCTACATATAGCATGAACACATAATCGATAGTTTCCACCTCGCGGCTCTTCCAGCTTATTCGTGACGCTGCAGTGTTGATGAAGTTGCATACTCTGTGTCTATTGAGCGGTCAACTGGAAAAAAAAATTTGCATTTCTTGATCTGCGCCTCCAAGTGTTCAACACGATATCGAGGTCCTGTTCCTGGTGCGCACTTGAATAATTCAATGCGTACGTTTAGTGTATGTTGCTACACGAGAAAATTATATTGCAGAATGTTGCAATGCAATTAATAAAGTGGAAAGTGGCTTGTGTCAGTGAAGCTATCGCATAGCAATCCAATTTATGGAATGGGAGCCACGCTCTAAACCACAAGTAATGTGCGCGAAATGCTTTCGAACATGCTACGCGCACACTACGTGGTCTTGAGGGAATACATGCAGTAATGTGTGTGCTTTTTGTAATGTGTTAATTGCTTTAAAGCACGAGGCACAATATTCACAAGTCCTGACGTTTGATGTCAGTGTACGCTTGTGCCATGCGATATTGCTGCAATATTACTCTGATGCCCGTATGCAAGACGCGTATTTTCGTAAAGTGTGGCAGCAGTTTTAACCGCATTTCAAGCAGAGGAAAGTATTTTCACTACATCTCTAAGCAGGTGCATGTATGTGTGGTAGAACACATGCGTGCCACATGGGTTCGACCGTCAGTTGGGCCCGTAAACGACCGGTAATAGCTTGGAACATTAGCTGATTATCTGCATACAGAGGACACACAAATTGTGTGCGTACGTATAAGCAAGATGAGTGAAAACTGACAACGTTACTATTGTACTTTGTGATTTATGTAATAATTAGAAATTATAAAAACATTGGCAGACCTCACGTACAGAGGAAATCGATCATATGCGAAGCTCGAATGAGGAAGGTTGATATATCGCTTTAAGATGAGCACAAAGTTATGATGTGGAGGTATATTGTGCCGCACATGACTTCCATACCATGATTACTATGTTTGGACAATTCATTTGCCTGCGTCACGTGGATACTGAATTTGGTATATGTGGAGCTAGCGGAACGGCCACGAGCGCATCGTGAGCGTGGTGGGTTGTAATGCTCTTTTTACATTGATTGGTGTCCCGTAAAACAGAAATTGGTATATTTGAAGCTAGTGAAACGGCTGCGACCGCATCTCGAAGGGCCGAATGGACGACGTAACGTTGACGCACACGCACGCTGGGCGCAGCGACGCCACCCTAGTCAAACCCACGCGCAGGTACGTGAACACCGTCCGTTGGTGCGGCCCGGCGGCAACCGGTGCGAAATGCGACACGCTGCATTTCGCGCCGATGACGTTACCAAGACAGCACCGCGTCTGCCTCTCTTCGTGACGGAGGGGCACCATGCGCGCTAAAACGCGCATGCATCAAAGCCACGCAGCGTGGCGCGCGCCTTCGCCTATATTGGCGGGTTCACCCTTGAGAAGTGAACAGAAATCGAAAACGCCAGAGCGGCCAGAAAACCATGACCGCACGCGTCGAACATGTTCACATTCGTCCTGCCTCATCAAGCCGCCACCGCCGTCAATACCTTAACAAATTATTTCAATTTCGCCTGCTTCTCGAAAAATAAAGTACGTATCGAATTTCAGTTTTTCATGCAAACTAGTGAAAAGAAACAGCTCGCACCTTTTCGAATGTTGTGTTGAAAGATAAGCCAGCAGAAACGACATGAGCGAACGCATTGGCAGCAGTGGCGGCAGATTCAGCTGGCTGTACACAAACGCGACCATTTAAGGGAAGTTAGCAGAGTGTCGTCACTAGCGTAGTCAAAATATGATAGCGTTTGTTTACGCGATATTCTTAACAAAGCTGATTTTTTACGTTTAAGGTCATGTGCCATTCCGTGCACCAATTTGATACTCATAATAGCGCAGTGCTAAGGGCAATATAGCTTGAAGGAGGGTTAATTTCTTCATAAATGATACAATCGTCGGCGAAAACCTTGATGTTCGTTTCAACGGACTGGGGCAAATTGTTAATAAATATTATAAATAGAATAGAGACTAAGACACTGCCCTGTGGTACACCTGATGTAACTTTTGATAGCTCTGATGTTTTCTGGTTTATTTTTACGAAATGCGTTTGCACGGTCAGATATGCGCTAATCCATTTTGTGATTGGTTCTCTACTTATTGTCGCCTGCAGTGTATTTATTAGCTTTTGATGCGAAACCCAGTTGAATGCTTTTGAAAAGTCGAGTGAAATAAGGTTGATCTGCTTTTGATGGTCAATGGCCGATGACAGCTGTCGTATTAATTCATTGAGTTGCGTAACTGGTAGATAGGTCTTTACGAAGCCCGTGGTAGAATGTTGACAAAATATGCTCTTTTTGGAGGTAAGTAATGATATGCTTAAGAATAATGTGCTCTAGTATTTTGCAAGTAGTGCTTGTCAAGGATATCGGGCGATAATTAGCGACGTCAACCTCACTACCCGATTATTGAATTATGACTCTTGCCACTTTCCTGTCATTGGGAAGTAAGCATTTCGTTAGGGACATGCTAAAGATAATAAACAGATATTTGGTTATCCATTCGGCGTAACGGGTGAGAAACTGATTCGGTATTTTATCAGACCCTGGTAGTTTTTTAACCTTTGTTCTTGGCAAAGGGTCAAATACACCTGCTTCGCTTGAGTGAACAGGTTCAATGGGGTCAGGTTCAATTTTGAGAGGCGGTCGGATGTGGTTGGCTGTGGTGAATGCTTAATGAAAGTAGTTATTGAACAAATTAGCTCGTACTCTGCTTCATCTGGGGATGATTTGCTATCTTTATTTTTAATTTTGGGATATAAAAAGTTCCAAAACTTTGAGGTGCATAATTTTTAAAGTTAGGTAAACTGTAAGAAAAGTAGTAGGTTTTTGGCTGCTTCAATATAAGACTTCATGGAAATAATTGCTTCCATAATGTTATTAGTAATTATGACATTCGATATTTGCTTTGAAGACTTCCTCAGGCGCTTTACTTTACGTTTTGCATGAATAATGTCTCTATCTATCCACGGATTGAACCGTCTTTCCCTCTTTGTTTTAGTTGGTCGTATTGAGATATGCAATACGATAAAATTTCTTAAAATTACTGCCTCAAGGTTTCCATATCAATATCCCGATAACCGGCAGGCTGCTCGAATGAACTGATTTTCTGTTATAAGCCGTCCTTGCCAGACGTAATAAACTTAAAGACAAAGCCATCATCATCAGCAAGAATTTTTCGCCTGCCACACGAAACATCAGAAACAAGTTAGCTGAATTCGCCAGACAACAAGCCGGTAAGCCGCCCCTTCAGCTTCGTTAAAAGAAAATGCATCCTAATAGCAAAGAGTATGTGTACGATGCCTCTTCTGACTCCGTAATTGAGCATGCGCAGAACAATGAATCTAACAGTCATCATGCTAGTGTCTCGACTCGTGCAAATACCTGGAGATTAGGGGGGATTGTGGGTCTGATGCTTCTCCGCTTCATGCTTTTGTTGTGTAACATCCGGAGCATTATTAACAAATGTGACCTTCTAGACTCTGCTATTGATAACTGTCAAGCTGATATAATAGTACTGACTGAAACTTGGCTGCACCCAGAAATAGATGATAGTGAACTGTGCTTAGGAAAGTTCTCTCTTTTTCTTTGTGATCGTTCGTTGCGGAAGGGTGGTGGTGTTTTTTGGTAATTTCTAACGCGCTTTTGTCTCAGCGCATTCAAGTTTCTAGTGAACTCGAGATTGTCTGGGTCATTGTTAAAATAAATCAGCAACATATAGGTAGCGGACTTTGATATCGGCCCCCCACAGTTTCAGACAGCTTTGTGACTACACTACATGATGTACCAACAGCAATAGTTCACGTTACCCCTAGCCAGCTTTGTTCCTTCTCGGTGATTTTAATATCCCTAATGTAATGTGGGAGTGCGATCCACCCAGCATTAACTCTTCATCTATGCTCGCACAACAGTTCCTAGATTAGTGTGGCTGCTTTCTGTTTTTCTCAAGTCGTCAAAAAACCCACCAGAACCACTTCTTCTGACGCCAATACCCTTGATTTATTACCTAGTACTCATCCAGATCTTGTTTATGATTTAGCTGTGTTACCGGGCTGGAGATATCATTCGATTGTAACTTTCGAACTTAAACTGTCGCGCCCTAAACAGAAAATAGGTGGAAAAGCATCCATAATTTCAAACGCATCGATATTCGTGCAATAGACAGTGAGCTGTGCGATTTGTCGACACGTATCTTGTAAATTTTGACAGTCTTGACGTTCAAAGCAACTGGGGTTTGTTTGTAGACAAGGCTAAAGCTTTACTTGACAAATTTGTGCCAATTTGCTTCATAACTACAAACAAATCGATTACATGATATAATAATCACATAAAACGTCTGTCCAATAAAAAGAAACGTTCCTACGTATCAGAGAAACGTTGTCCTTGTGCTAATCATTGGAACACACACAAACTAGTTTCAGATGAGTGTATTTCTGTACTTCCAGCGCAAAAGAACGCTTTTTAAAAAACACCCTCCTTCCTATGCTTCAAGCGGACACTAAAAAATTCTGGCGCGTCATAAATCCAAGAGACGATAACACCATAAGCCTCACAGATGACGCCGGAAACGTTCTAGCCCCTGAAAAGTCGGCATCAGTCCCTAACGATATTTTTGCTTCAGACTTT